CATCGATTTTTGGTTCGAAACAACATACAACACCTGCAATAAGCGATCACTTTCGCGAATATATCTGGTCTAAACTATTGTAAGAACCCATCTCAACAACGTTTCCACCTCCTAATATAATGAATTAGTCTAAACTCTCGTTCGAACCCATCCCGGGCACTTCTCCCACCCTTGAAATTAGGTGCAGGTGTTAATAAATTAGTCTAGCAACAAAGGAAATTCATTTCAGTTTGTTGGAAAATGTCCGAAATGCAAAGTGCTGTCGTTAGAAGATCGTATTAAAGTTATCACAACAGCAATTAGCGGCGAAGTTTAACTGTGGGAAAACAAAATTTATTTTACCCTAGACCTACAGTATTTTCCTTGGGGGTGTAAAATATTGTACACGATACAATTAATCGGCTGATCTCATCGTTTGATAAAATCTATTTTTATTTATTTATTTTGAAGCTCATATACAGTACACGTGCGATAAATAGTTTCTGTATCAACCTACCTTATTTCCACGATATTTTTAGAAAAATAATATCCAAGTAAATTTCGCAGGCAAAATATTCAAAAAACAATAAAAGCATTAATGCAAAAATCAGTTTTGCTTCTTTTTTTCGATTCCGCGATTGTAATTGAAATCGTATAATGAGAAAAAATAATAAAATCGTTTTATTATTAATTAATAATTTTTCTTATTGTACTTAATTAATTAAGAAAATATTAAATATTAAAAAATACAGTATTTTTAAAGTTAAAATAAGATTAAACTAACGAAAACCAAAAGCAAAGTGATGGAGAGATAGGACGCGCTTGTATATTGATGACGTAATACACGTAACTGAGGAGCGAACGAAAAGAACCGAGTCGAATTAATTAAGTCGGAAAAAAGAAAGTGTGCATTATAATCGAGAAAATGCGAGTATTGTATTAATCTTTAAAATATTGGTGTTAAATCTGTCTTATAATATCATGACGACTCCTGTAAATCGGGTTATCCGATAAGAATAAAATACAATACCAATATAGCACTATCGTTGAAAAAATTCGCTTATTTTTGCTCGCCTCGAGTTTTGCTTAGTAGAAATGGCTAAAAAGTGCGCAAAATACGTACGGAAATACGGTATTACGGCACCACCCATATTGGACGACCACCTGCCTAAAAGACCACTTTTTGAAGGAACCGTGGGTGGTCGCCATAGACAGGTTTTACTGTATTTGAGAACAAGTTGATAAACATGTTTATTATAGAGATTGAAGTTAATTATTTATTACAGTATTAAAATTATTACATTTAATACAGTATTAAAATTTCTTAAGAAGTCAGATCACAGAATAACTTAATTTATATTACTGTAATGATATTAAAATTTTCAATGGCAGAGCAAGACACTAATTCTTTGTACTTGAATTGGCTTGTTTGCTGTGGTAGCTTGTATTATAAGGATCTTATTCAAGAACCCTTAGTATTCAAAACTTAGCACAAGTTCTTGGGAACAACAAGAATGTTTTGCAGTTGAATACTCTTATCTTTAGTTGGAATATCTTTGGATTAAGCATACTACTCAAATTTTTTTTGTATGTAAAAGTGATTTTACTACAAAAAGAATGTAACTGTGTAGTTTAAAGTGAGTGTAACCTCTTATCTGGTGTAGGTAAAGGTAAAAAAAAAAAAATATCAAAACCTGTTCAAAATAAACTTGAAAAAATAATAATAATAATTTGGTACAGAGTGATTCCAGTTTATGTAGGTTTTACTTTATAAAATGTTTTTTTTATTTAAATGTTAACATAATTTTGAAATACCCTGTATATCAAAATAAACCAGCAATGAGTTGCTTAACTTTCCTGGAAACATTTAAAATTTTGGTAGTACCATCTGTTATCATTTTATATTTTTAACTACAGTAGAGTGTCGATTATCTGAAAGTCAATCATCCGAAAGAATTCCAGTCGGCAAATTTAAATTTTCGCCAGTGCTGTGGCACTGCAATCTTTGGCTATGTCTTGGGCTACTCAAATATTTTACGTTTTTGATACTAAATTAACTTCTGAAGTATACTTTTATTGTTTTTATATTTTTCAATATATTTATTTTGTTCGTACAAAATAAAAAAATAATTTTTAATGATACAATAGTCTTCGTTAGGCTTAACATCGACGAAAATTCAACGCAAAGCGACACGCAACGGAGAAAAATGTCAAGATGGGATAAATTAATATATTTTTTCGTACATAATCAGTTATCCGAAATATCGATTTTCTGAACAACCCCAGTCCCCAATTGATTCAGATAATCGACACACTACTGTATTATAAAATGGCAAAAACCTTAATTTTGAGGGTAAAGATGAGTTTTACAAAATAAAATTTTAAATGCTAATAATAAGTAAAATCATCATTAAGTTTGATCCTACTGGAGATACATACAACCCCACCCCCTCAACCTTTAACAACCAAAATTCAATAGCATCAAACCCCTTAATAAACAAACCTTTTTGCAAAATTTTAGAACCAAAACTTCTTACTCGAATTCTGGAAAGTATATAAATTACGGTGGTACTGTTCCATTTTTTGAAAATAATTTTAGAATTTTTGTTCTATGCATTCACATGTTCTAATCTAACAGTTTTTTAAACCCGAAGAAGACTAAATGTACGGTCGAAAATGTTAGTTTGATATTAAATGTTTATTACTGGAGTTATAAGGTTTAGGAGTGTTAATTTAAAATTTTAGAAATTTTCAACAAAAAGCACAGGAGTTATTAAATTTCAAACAGAGTGAACAAAATCATGCCCCCCACAAGCACAAACATCCATAAATACAGAAATTACCCTCCCCACAAACTTTTTGCATTTCTTGACGTTTCAAAGTGTCCTAAGACCAAAAATGTCAAAATCTTGGGGGGATCATTTTTTGACCGATTGCCATACTTTCCTTCTGCTATATATAACAGCTGGAAAAGTAAAAATAAAAATTATTTGACTGAAAAAAAATTGGAAATAGAATAGAATTAATGTAAATTAATTATGAAATGTTTTACTCGGTGAATTTAGATTTAGCTAGTACCTAATGTATCTATAATTACCTAATGTATAATCTTAGTTTTTTCTGAAATTTATTTAAATAACCAAATAACTATCTCTAATCTCTAATAATTATCAAATAATAATAATATGTACACTCTGAAGTTTTGAGCTATAATTTATTTTATAAATAATTGTTCTATGTAATTGTTCATTTACATTTTATATCAAAACTAGCTTACCTGTCGCGCATTGCTGCGATCTCAGAAGAAAGGAAATTCAAGCAAACTCGTTATGATAAAATTCAATTTACATTTCATTATTTTTATTGAAACTTATTATTATTATTCATTTTCATCGGGAAAACATTTGAAAGTGTCGTTTCAATTCTATTTATTTATTGGAGTGTTTGTGGATACACAATATTTTTTGTTTTTCTGTCTGGTGTGTACACGAATAAATCGGAAGGTTTTTCGACGCGTGAGCCGACCACATACAGTTGTCCATGCGAGAAGCACGGATTCTCCAAATTTAGCCCACACACTCGCTGCGATTGTCAGAAGTGCGATATTCCCCATTT